GCGCGGTGGTGAGGGGCGTGCGGCGGTGCGTGGCCAAGAGCCGCTCCATCTGCGTGGCCACCGGCGACCCCCATTACACCACCTTCGACGGGCGCCGCTACGACTTCATGGGCACCTGCGTCTACCAGTTGGCCGCCCTCTGCTCTGATGACCCCACCCTGATCCCCTTCACCGTCACGGTGGAGAACAACAACCGGGGCAGCCGCGTGGTCTCCTACACCAAGGAGGTCACCTTGGAGGTCTACAACATGACCCTCAGCCTCAGCCAGGCGCACCCTCAGAAGCTCAAGGTAAGGGAGAATGAGGGGCCGGTTGAGTTGCAAGGTCTTTGAGTGGCGTCTGGGTGGGCTGTAAGGTCCTTGCGTGGTGTCTAGGAGGGTTCCAAGGTCATTGTGTGGCATTTGGTGGGGTTGCAAGGTCATTGCATGGTGGTCTGAGTTGGCTGCCAGGTCATTGCGTGGCATTTGGTGGGGTTGCAAGGTCATTGCATGGTGTCCAGCTGGCTTGCCAACTCATTGCGTGGCATTTGGTGGGGCTGCAAGGTCATTGCATGGTGGTCTGAGTTGGCTGCAAGGTCATTGCGTGGCATTCGGTGGGGTTGCAAGGTCATTGCATGGTGTCCTGCTTGGCTGCCAACTCAGCGTGGCATCTGGGTGGGTTCCAAGGTCATGGCATGGCATTTGGTGGGGTTGCAAGGTCATTGCATGGTTGGTGGTCTGGGTGGGCTGCAAGATCATCGCATGGCATTTGGTGGGGCTGCAAGGTCACTGCATGGTGTGCTGCTGGGTTGACAACTCATTGCATGGCATTTGGTGGGGTTGCAAGGTCATTGCATGGTGTCCTGCTGGGTTGCCAACTCGTTACGTGGCATCTGGGTGGGCTGCAAGGTCGTTGTGTGGTGTTTAGGTGGGTTTCAAGGTCCTTGTGTGGTGTCTAGGCGGGTTGCAAGGTCATTGCATGGCATTTGGTGGGGTTGCAAGGTCATTGCATGGTGTCCTGCTGGGTTGCCAACTCGTTACGTGGCATCTGGGTGGGCTGCAAGGTCGTTGTGTGGTGTTTAGGTGGGTTTCAAGGTCCTTGTGTGGTGTCTAGGCGGGTTGCAAGGTCATTGCATGGCATTTGGTGGGGTTGCAAGGTCATTGCATGGTGTCCTGCTGGGTTGCCAACTCGTTACGTGGCATCTGGGTGGGCTGCAAGGTCGTTGTGTGGTGTTTAGGTGGGTTTCAAGGTCCTTGTGTGGTGTCTAGGCGGGTTGCAAGGTCATTGCATGGCATTTGGTGGGGTTGCAAGGTCATTGCATGGTGTCCAGCTGGCTTGCCAACTCATTGCATGGCATTTGGTGGGGTTGCAAGGTCATTGCATGGTGTCCAGCTGGCTTGCCAACTCATTGCATGGCATTTGGTGGGGTTGCAAGGTCATTGCATGGTGTCCTGCTGGGTTGCCAACTCATTGCGTGGCATCTGGGTGGGTTTCAAGGTCGTATGGCATGGGGTTGAGTAGCAAGCTTGTTGCATGGCCTCTTGGTGGGCCTCAAAGCTGTTGCGCGACATCTTGGTGGGCGTCAGATTTGCTGTGTGGCCTCTTGGTGGACCTCAGATTTACTGCGTGGCTTCTTGGTGGTCTTCAAAGCTGTTGTGTGGCATCTTGGTGGGCGTCAGATTTGCTGTGTGGCCTCTTGGGGGGCCTCGGGGTTGCTGCGTGGCCTCTTGGCGGGCTTCAAAGCTGTTGTATGGCATCTTGGTGGACTTCAAAGCCGTTGCGTGGCCTCTTGGTGGGCCTCAGAGTTGCTGCATGGCCTCTTGGTGGGCTTCAAAGCTGTTGTATGGTGTCTTGGTGGGCCTCAAAGCTGCTGTGTGGTATCTTGGTGGGCTTCATAGTTGTTGCGTGGCATCTTGGTGGACGTCAAAGCCATTGCGTGGCATCTTGGTGGGCTTCAAAGCTTTTGCATGTCATCTTGTTGGGCCTCAGAATCCTTGCGTGGCCTCTTGGTGGGCCTCAGTGTTGCTGTGTGGCCTCTTGGTGGGCTTCAAAGCTGTTGCGTGGCCTCTTGGTGGGCCTCAGTGTTGCTGTGTGGCCTCTTGGTGGGCTTCAAAGCTGTTGCGTGGCCTCTTGGTGGGCCTCAGTGTTGCTGTGTGGCCTCTTGGTGGGCTTCAAAGCTGTTGCGTGGCCTCTTGGTGGGCCTCAGAGTCATTGCATGGCATGTTGGTGGGCCTCGGTGCTGCTGTGTGGCCTCTTGGTGGGCCTCAGAGTTGCCGCGTGGCATCTTGGTGGGCTTCAAAGCTTTTGCATGTCATCTTGTTGGGCCTCAGAATCCTTGCGTGGCCTCTTGGTGGGCCTCAGTGTTGCTGTGTGGCCTCTTGGTGGGCTTCAAAGCTGTTGCGTGGCCTCTTGGTGGGCTTCAAAGCCATTGTGTGGCTTCACGCACCCTACGGTGTCCTTCCAGGTCAACGGGATCCTGGTGGATCTGCCCTTCAGCCACGCTGACAAACTCCAGGTCTACCTCAGGGGGGTCCACGGCTTCATCAAGACCGACTTCGAGGTCATCGTCACCTTCGACTGGTACAGCTACGCCCGCGTCATCCTCCCCAACACCTACTCGCGGGCCGTCTGCGGCCTCTGCGGCAACGCCGACGGCGACCCCGGGAACGACTTGGCTTTGCCCAACGGGCAACCGGCTCCCGACGAAATCCAATTTGCCGACTCCTGGAAAGTGGCCGACATCCCCGGTTGGACCACCGGGT